GCAGCTTAGACCAATTAGAGAATTTTCCTTTGCCTTGCATTCCTCTCAAAACTGACAGCCTTTCAAGTTACTGAGTAAGTGAGTGAGTACAGGACACCCAAATGCCTCAAAATTCCAAGAAAGAATTCTCAAAATTCCAAGAAAGCATGCCTCAAAATTCCAAGAAAGCACCAAGTACCGTATTTCAACTAGTATTTCAACTGTAAGGTGCGCCTTCATTTCTATTCCACTATGAAAGCATTCTTTAAAAAACATAATCAATTAAATCATGATATACCATTGTTTGGAAGAAGCATTGCCATTTCAGAAATGTTAAAAAGGGGTGGAAGGACAGCCTTATGCATGTAATAAATGCCACTAAATTGTTCACTTTAAAATGGTTAATTTTGCCGGGCTCGGTGACTCAGCCCGTAATCCCGCGCCTTTGGGAGGCTGAGGTGAGTGGACCCGCCTGGGCAGGGAGACCTCATCTCTATAATAAATTAAAAAATCAGCTGGGCGTGGTAGCGCGCACCTGTAATTCCGGCTACTCGGAAGGCTGAGGCAGAAGGATCGCCAGAGCCCAGCAGGTCGAGGCTGCGGTGGCTGGGAGCGGCCACTGCACTCCAGTCTGGGCGACCGAGTGAGACGACAACTCAAAAAATAAAAATTAAAAATTAAAAAAATAAAATATAGTGGTTAATTTTATGTTATGTGAATTTCACCCCAAATTATTTTTAATGTGAAGAATATGCATCTTAGAATAAATAACATATAGCATTATTCCTCATTCATATGGTAGTGGGGGAGGGAAGGTGAAGCAACTTCTACTTAGGATGAAACTTTGTAACATGCCCTAGAACAGTGGACCTCTAGAAACATCCCTAAAATGTACGCTAATAGGATTTACAGTGTCCTTCAATAATGGACATCCTCTTGAGCCACTGGGGATTGGTTCCAGGACTCCTGCATATACCAAACCCGTGCATACTCAAGTCCCATGTTGGCCCCGGGGAACCTACTCATAAGAAGTTTCCATTCTCCATATGTGCGGGTTTTGCATTCCATGTATAAGGGGACATGCACAGTTTCTAACCCACACGTTCAAGGGACAACTGTAATTTATTTCATTTCATTTAAAATGCTTTGCTCCTGGTGTATTCCTGATTTACCAGAAGGCTTTTACCGAACTATTTCCTCTGTTTCCTCTGCTGACAATTTTAAGAAGTTATTCATTGACCAGGTGGGGTGCAAATCTGTAGCCCCAGTACTTTGGGAGTCCAAGGCAAGAGGATTGCTTGAGCCCAGGAGTTCGAGATCTGCAGAGGTAACATAGTGAGACCTCATCCCTACAAAAAAAAAATTTTTTTTTAATTATCCAGGTGTTGTGATGCACACAGTCCCAGCTACAGTGAGACTGAGGCAGAAGGATTACCTGAGCCCAGGAGGTCAAGGCTGCAGTGAGCTGTGATCGTACCACTGCACTCCAGCCTGGGCCACAAAGTGGGACTCCAACTCAAAAAAAAGAAGTCATCCATTAACCTCAGCAGGGGAAGAGAAGCCATTTATGCTGTCAACAGAGGCTCAAGAGGGTAGAGTTCTGGATGGCCTGAGTTCTCAATGCTTTCTTTCTGGTCAGTGCCCTAGCATTTACATAAGAGACCTGAAATTGTGTGAATTTAACTAATATTGTATTACAATAATTCTCAGTATCAAATTATAAATTTGATTTCCAGCTATAATCAACTCCGTGATGGCAAGAGATAAATTATTTTTATCATAGACATAGAAAGTCAATGGTTTGAGACTTATCTTGAGCCAAAATTTTAGAGTTTTGAGTTTGTCATTTTTTTTTTACTTTGTTCGGAACAGTTAAAAGAAATCCCTCTTCACAGCTCACAAATTCCCTCCACTCTTTATACTATTCTGTGACAGAGGCTATTTGATTCCCCAAAGCTTTGACTTCAATGCATCTTTTATTTAGGTGGTGATCTATTTGCAGCAGACCAAGGGCTAATATTAGCTAGATTTTCACTGCCCAAACATCAATACCAAATTCATGACTGTGCTGATACCAATTTATGTATCAGCGACAATTCAGTTTGTAGTTATGTTTTCTAGGAGGTACAAATAGCCAAAATTGTTCCAAGAAGACTTGGAGAACCAAATAGAGCAATAACCATAGAAAAACAAAAACTATTGTTAATGAGCTACAATCTTCAAGGGCAATAGCTGAAAATTATAAATAAGTGAGTTCTTCTTGACCTTCGAGTAACAGATTATTCCTTATTTATTCAAGTTAATGTTAACGCTTATAAGTTGAAAATTTTTTCAACTTTTGAAAATAGCACCATGTAAATACCATAATCTAACAAATAGAGAAAAGCCTTGGAAGAAATGGAATTCTCATGTAAACTATTTAAGAAAGTAAGAAAAGATGGAAAGCCACCCAACACATTTTTCTTACTAACATATCCTAAAACCAAAGCCAGAAAAGAAGAGCAAGATTAAAAAAAAATTATATATATGAGATCCCATTTAAGAACAATGAAGCAAAAACCCTAAACAAAATGCTAATAATTTAGAGCCAGCAGTGTATTAAAAGAATAATTCATCAAGTCTAAAGAGGATTTATCCCAGCCTTGCTAGGATGGTTCACTATTAGGATATATATCAACTTTACTTATTATATTAATGAAGTAAACATAAAACTACAATTATCTTAATAAATTCAATGCCCATTAATAATGTAAAAGAAAAAAATCTAGAAACTAGGGAAAAAATTCTTAATTTGATACATGTTTTGTTTTTAGTAAAGCAATGATAGAAAACCCACAGCAAGCTGGGCACAGTGGCTCACGCCTATAAATCCCAGCATTTTGGGAGCCCAAGGCAAGAGAACTGCCTGAGCCCAGGGGTTCAAGACCAGCCTGGGCAACTTGGCAAGACCTCATCTCTACAATAAATCAAAAATTTGCTGGGCATGGTGGTGCATGCCTATAGTTTCAGCTACTTGGATGGCTGAGGCAGAAGGATTGCTTGAGCCTACTGCACTTTAATCTGGGCAACAGATTGAGACTCTGACTCAAAAAAAAAAAAAGCAAAAAACTATAGCAAATGCCATACATTACAGTGAAACAATAAAAGCATACAAGTTGAAGCTAGAAACAAGACAACAATGATCTGTATCAGCCCCATTGCTCTGTTGCTCTGAATGGTACCAGATGTTCTCCCTAATTCAAGAAGAGACAGGAAGTAATGAGAGGCATAAACATTAGAAAAAAGAGGCAAACTGTGATTATTTGCAGATGACACTATTGCTTATATAGAAAGGTCTAAAAAAAATCAATTGACAAACTATTAGAACAAATAAGAGAATTCAGCATGGTAACCACATACAAGATCTATGTACAAAAATCAATAGTTTTTCTATGTACCAGCAATAACCAATTAGAAAATGTAAGAGAAAATAAGATTATATTCACAATAGCTGCAAAAACTATTAAGCACCTAAGAATATACCTAAAAATAGAATTTATCTCAGACCCTTAAAGATTGTTCAATATTAGGAGATCCATCAATATAACTCATCACAGTGACAAAATAAAGTTGAGAACTAGACAATTATTTCATATAGCAGTGGAGGAAATTAAAAAACCATTTCTGGTAAAAACACTAAGTAAAACAGGAGATAAAGGACATTTCCTAACTATGATAGTTGTGTGAGTGTTGTTTTGTTTTTAAGAACTAAGAGAATAATCAAATTAAATGTAGGTATATATATGTATACATATATATATAGAGAGAGAGAGACAAACAGAGAGAGAGAGAGAGAGAGAGAGAGAGAGAGAGTGTGTGTGTGTGTGTGTGTGTGTGTGTGTGTGTGTGTGTGTGTATGTGTGTGTGTGTGTGTGTCAGGGGTCTCTGTCACCCAGGCTGGAGTGCAGTGGCATGATCACAATGATCATGGCTCACGGCAGCCTCGACCTCCATGCCACCATGCCCTGCTAATTTTTTAAAATTTTTTTGTAGAGATGAGGTTTTGCTATGTTGCCTAGGCTGGTCTTGAGCTCCTGAGTTCAAGCAATCCTCCCACCTCAGCCTCCCAAAGTGCTAGGATTACAGGTGTTAGCCATTGTGCCCAGCCTGAAATGACTAAATATTAAAGGCATTGCCATTAAAGTAAAAAATAAGACAAGGACCATCACTATCCCTCAAAACTCATTGGTATAAAAATGAAACAGAGGATTTGACGATGTGGCAGACCCTATTCCAGGATCTGTCAGAAATATATATATATATAACTGTATATATAATATATATATAGCCTTTTAATTTTATTAGTTTCTGAAAACAAAGCAACACACACAAACACACACAAAAACTATCGTATTCAGGAAATATCCCTTGTCTCCTGTTTTACTTAGTGTTTTTACCAGAAATGGCTTTTGAATTTTCTCCACTGCTATATAAAATAATTATCTAGTTTTCAACTTTATTTTATCAACGTGATGAGTTTTATTGGTGGATCTCCTAATATTGAACAATCCTTAAGGGACTCTATAACAAGACTACTTTAATTTTATATTACACATAGGATGAAAATTGAAATTTCATTCAGAGACAGAAACTGATCAAGAGAATCTTTGTTTCCCTACCGAAGCCATTACCAAGCACTCTCCAGATATTATTCACACTGCACCTGTCCTCTGACTAAAGGAAAGAATTTTTAATTGTCCAAATAGTCCTGAGACCCAGAGCTGCTTTTGCTCATGTGGCAGTGGGGCTTGACCGCCGACGGGTACCTGAAATGCACCTAAGAATCCGTGGGTACAAAAAGCTGCCTGACAAATGAGGATGGAGTTCTGACACAGTCTGTTACTTCCTCATGCTCAGAAACTGTGAGCGCATTTTCAAATCCTATCACTCTTACCTTGTTTCACATATTGTGGCCTAGGTTTATCCCCCCCCCCCCTTTTTTTTTTTTTAAGAATAACAGGAGTCTCCCGGTGGCGGACATCGGGGACATTCTGCAGCAGATAATGACCATCATCGACCAGACCCTGGACAAGGCCCAGGCCAAGAAACACGCCCTAAACTGCCACCGAATGAAACCTGCTCTCTTTAACGTCCTGTGTGAAATCAGGGAGAAAAACGGCCTCAGCATTCAAAGCTCCCAAGAAGAGGAGCCGGTGGACCCACAGCTGATGAGCTTGGACAACATGCTTCTGGCGGAGGGTGTGGCTGGGCCTGAGAAAGGCGCGGGGGGCGGGGGGGTGCTCCGCAGCAGCGGCTCTGCAGCCTCCGGGGGCGGCGTGTCCCCTGACAACTCCATCGAGCACTCCGACTATCGTAGCAAACTTGCCCGGATCCACCACATCTACCACTCGGGGCTGGAAAAGGATGAGCTGGCATGTAATGAGTTCATGAACCTACTGAGGGAGCAGAGCCGCACAAGGACTGTGGCACCCAAAGAGGTGGAGCGCATGGTGAGCATCATCCATCGAAAGTTCAGCGCCATCCAGATGCAGCTCAAGCAGAGCACCTGAGAGGCCGTCATGATCCTGCGTTCCCGTTTACTGGACGCCAGACGAAAGCGCCCTAATTTCAGCAAACAGGCCACTGAGGTCCTAAATGAATATTTCTACTCCCATTTGAGTAACCCATATCCTAGTGAGGAGGCTAAGGAGGAGCTCGCCAAGAAGTGCGGCATCTCCGTCTCTCAGGTCTCCAACTGGTTTGGCAACAAGCGGATTCACTATAAGAAAAATATTGGAAAGTTCCAAGAGGAGGCAAACATCTCTGCTGTCAAGACTGCCGTGTCAGTCACCCAGGGGGGCCATAGCTGCACCAGCTCCCCGACACCCCCTTCCTCCACAGGATCCGGAGACATGTTTCTAGGGGTGCCCGGGCTCAATGGAGATTCCTATTCTGCTTCCCAGGTGGAATCACTCGGACACTCGATGGGGCCAGAGGGCTACAGGGATAACCTCGGGGAGGTCAGATGTGCAGCCCTCGGGAAATGAGGGCAAACGGCCCCTGGCAGGAGACTGTGGCCCCATCTTCAGTGACATCCCCGACAGAGGGACCTCCAGGGAGTGTTCACTCTGACACCTCCAGCTGATCTCACCCCTCAGGGTCACAGGGGTGAGGGCTCTCACAAGGCGACTCTTGAAGAGGACACAGACATCCAGAGGACAAGCCCCAGAGACAGGAGAAGCACAAGACGGAGAGGGGCAAATGGGGTCATTCCCTTCCCAACTAGACTCTCTCAGCACTGGGGATGCTGACTACATGGCAGGAAGAATGGGGCCCCTTAGGAGAGAGTGGGGTCTGTCTCCCCATTTTTTCCATCTTTCTTCTCTCCCCTTCTCTCTCACACAGAAACAGACACATACCCGGAAACCTATGTCTCCGAACCATTTTTTCTCCCTCCCTCCCACATGTATACTCCCACATATAACTATTCTGTTTCTCTTTCTGAGCTCCCCTTTACTTTCCCTATCCTACTTATCTGCTCTGGAATCTGTGGAGATGCCAGCCCTGCCTGACCAGAGATGCCAGAAATGGGGACACCCTTCTGGACATAGTCTTCTGGACAGAGAACGCGGGCCATGACCTCTGTGCATCCTCACCCCCTGCCCCTCCATATGGCTTTATTACCTCTTACGCAGCTCATCTTAAACCAATAGAATCGCTCAGTGGACGAGAGTGTCTGACTCAGATATCTGCCTCGGAGAGAGTTTCTGCTACTTTACAGAATTATTGACTGGGTTTTGGGGTTGGACTTTTTTTTTAAGGAAAGAAAAAGAAACCCTGGAATCCATCTGTAATTTTTTGATTTGTTTTTGTTGTTGTTTGTTTTGGTGGTGGTGATTCTTAATTTTTAATTTAGTTTGGGGAAGTAGTTTTTTTTTTTTTAATATGTTGATTTCTTGTCTTTTTATTTCTGCTCTCGCATATTAGGGGTGATAGCCAAAGGGGTCCTGGTAAGAGAAAGGGAGACAAACAGAACTGGTGAAGAGGCCCACCTGGATCCAGGCCTGACCATCAGGAAGTGAATTTTTCAGGGCACCAAGCTCTTGCCTCCTAAAATCACTTAGGTGTTTTTTGCTTATGCGGGCAGGTTTCTGCTGCATTTGGAGGCGGTGAGGGGCTTCCTATCTTCCCTCTTCCCACCCCTTGGGGAGGACTGGACTTAGTAATTTTGAGGAAATCGAAGATGCTACCTTCCCCTGTGACATGCCTTTAATTTTTTAAACTACTATTTGCAGATTGGAGGAGGAAGAATGGGGAGGAGGTTATTGCCAAATATGTTAAATATGGGTTGGGTTACTTATATGTGTGTATCTCCCTCCCTCAGTTTCCCCAGAAATGAGGTGTCTTTTTTTTGTCACACCAAAATGAAAGGGGTGGGGAGAAAGAGGAGGGAGGTTGCAAAAAGTCAGGTATGGGGGAAAGTAAAATCGATGCTGTCCCATTCTCGGCCTTGAACCCTACCATCTGGTCCCCTCAGACATCCTCAGGATCTTACAAGACTGTCAGAGTGGAGAACCCCTTCCGTGACAGATATGGGCAGGACTGGGGACAGGTCGGGAGTGTGATGGGTGGGAAATGGGAGGCATGGGCTGGGGCAGTTCTCCCCTCATTTGTAAATTTGTAGTTTCACAGAAAAAAACAACAACACAGTTTTAAATTTTTTAATAAAGAAATTTCTTTAAAAAAAGAAAAAAGAAAAACAAACCACCAAGGTGAGTTCTAAACAAAGTTGCTTGAGAGTCTTTTAATCAGAGTTAATTGAAGTTGTATGTTGGCCTCCCATCTCTAGGAAAAAGCACACATCGCTCACTCTAGAGAAAAAGACCAGAGAAGCTGAAGATGAGATGGGAGCTATTTGAATCTCTCCATACCCTTTATGAAAACAGTGCTATTGTGTGAAATGAAATGTTGCCTTATTCTAGAATCACAAATAAAGCCAACTGAGATTTATATATATGGAATGCTATCCAAAAAAAGAAAAAAAACAACTGCCATGAGTTAAGTTCCTTGGAAGTAGAGTCTGAAACAAGATAAACGCGGTGGAAGTTTAGTGGGGAATACTCTTGGTATCATTATTTACAGAGGGAAAGAGAAAAAGCAGGATTAAGCAAAAGGAGAAGTCTGACTGTGATGAAATATCAAGAAGGCCTCAGTTGATACCCTGGGTAGAATGATCCTTCAGAATTGTCCCCAAATGAGATGAGGAGACCAGGTCCTTATATTCTATGTCAAGCAGTCATCAGATGTGAGCTATCCTGAGACAGGGACTGTTCTTGAGGGAAGTGAGTCTCCAGGGAAGGCAATTTTAGCTTTCAGCTGCTGGGGAGACCCATGTGGCATGACATAGCAAAGTAACAAGGAAACAAAAGGAACAAAGGTGCAAGAGACATTTTCAACAAAACAGGAAACAAAATATGAGTTGATGGGGCCAAACAGCAGCAAGACTTCTGTGGTATAATCAACAGTGAAGGAGGAAGCACAGAGAAGCCAAAGGTTGAATCTAGAAATCAAGTAATCGCCTGCAAAAAAAAGGGATACCACTCGGACTGGAGAACTTGGCTGGTGAAACTAAGGTCCAGTGATTTAGAGAAGAAAATAGATGACCATGCAGTGAAATACTTCACAATTGAAAACAAACACACATATTGATTTTTTTTTTTTTTTTTTTAGTCGGAGTTTCACTCTGTCGCCCAGACTGGAGTGCAGCGGCCGCTCCCGGCCACCGCAGCCTCGACCGCTCCCAGCCACCGCAGCCTCGACCTGCTGGGCTCCGGTGATCCGCCTCAGCCTTCCGAGTAGCCGGAATTACAGGCGCGCGCTACCACGCCCAGCTAATTTTTTGATTTATTGTAGAGATGAGGTCTCGCTGCCCAGGCAGCTCTCGAACCCGCGGGCTCAGGCAATCCACTCACCTCAGCCTCCCAAAGGCGCGGGATTACAGGCTGAGCCACGGAGCCTGGCTCAATGGCTATATTAACTATGAACATATTGTATATATATTCAGAATATATAGATAAACTCAATAACACAGCAATCAACCTCATAAAGTAAAAACCACATGAGATGTGGACAAAGTAGAAACAAGAGAGAATGTTAACACACATTCTCATTCCAAAACAAACCAAGTGGACAACAAAATGAATAAGAATTTAGAAAATCAGCCAGGCTCAGTGGCTCAGCCTGTAATCCCACGCTTTGGGAGGCTGAGGTGAGTGGATTGCCTGAGCCCGCAGGTTTGAGCTCTGCCTGGGCAACTTGGCGAGACCTCATCTCTACAATAAATCAAAAAAATTAGCCGGGCATGGTAGCGCGTGCTTGTAGTTCCAGCTACTTGGAAGGCTGAGGCGGAAGATCGCCGGAGCCCAGCAAGTTGAGGCTGCGGTGGCCGGGAGCGGCCACTGCACTCCAGTGTGGGCGACAGAGTGAGACTCCAACTCAAAAAAAATAAAATAAAATCTAACCTAGTGTGACTGAAAATTGGTTACAGATTGGTGCCAGACTATGAACTGTGGTTACCAAACTGTGGTTGCCAGATGCAACAAGAAGCTTGCTCCACAGTATAAGTTAATGCACCATTTCCTTCATTGAAAAAGTCTTGCTATAAGAAAAAAAGGCAGATGAACCTAAAAACGAGCTTAATGACACAAGAGACTATCTTGCTTTGAGTAGCGTTGACCTAAACAACATAATCAATATGGTAATTCTTACAGATATATATCAAACTCTGAGTCCCAATATTGAAGAATACACCTTTTGAAGTATACATGAAATATTCATAAAATAGATATTTTAGGCCACAAAGAAATACCACAATAAAATGCAAATAACACAATAGCATTCTCTGACTACAATGCAATAAAGTTAGAGATTGATAATAATAATAAAGTTTCTTCCACTGGGGAATTTTTTTTTTTTTTTTGAGTTGAAGTCTCACCTGTTGCCCAGGCTGGAGTGCAGTGGTACGTTCACAGCCACTGCAGCCTCGACATGCTGGGCTCAGGCGATCCTTCCACCTCAGTCTTCCAAGTCGTTGGAACTACAGGTGCGCAGCACCATGCCCGGCTAACTTTGTGATTTATTGTAGAGATGAGCTCTTGCCATGTTGCCCAGGCTGGTCTCAAACCCCTAGGCTTAGGCAATCCTCTTGCCTCGGCCTCCCAAAGTGCTGGATTGCAAGCTTGAGTCACTGTGCCTGTCCTGGGAAAAAATTTTTTTAATGCGCATACTTTAAAATAGTTCCTGCATGAAGGGAAAATGAAAATTTAGAATTCTTAAAAATTATACTACGTATAATGAAAGAGCACACATAGCAAAAGCCATTATCAGAGGAAACTTTATATACTACCTACCCATGTCAATGAAAATGAAAGTAAATAAATGAAACACTGAAGTCATAAAGGTGGAAAAAGTTAAAAACAAAACAAAACAGGCTGGGCATGGTGGCTCAAGCCTGTAATCCTAGCACTTTGGGAGGCTGAGGTGAGAGGATTGTCTGAGCCCACAGGTTTGAGACCAGCCTGGGCAACATGGTGAGACCTTGTCTCTACAATAAATTAAAAAAATTAGCTGGACATGGTAGCATGCTCTTATAGTTCCAGCTACTTGGAAGGCTGAGACGGAAGGATTGCTGGAGCCCAGCATGGTGATGCTGGGGTGGCCATGAGCGTGCCACTGCACTCCAGCCTAGGCGACGGAGTGAGACTTCCACTAAAAACAAAACAAAACAAAACAAGGAAACATAAGAAAGGAAATAACCTAATAAGATAAAAAAATAAGTGAATTAAAAAACAGACACAGAGTTAAAGTAATATCTACATAAAAGCTTATTATTTAAAGATACTAGCAATGTACACAAACTACTAGGTAACTTAATTTTTTTTAAAGAGAGAATGCAAAATGTACAAACAAGCACAAAAATACAAGGGACACATGGTCATCAAAACAGTGTCTAAGCTGGGCTCAGTGGCTCAGCCTGCAATCCCCCGCCTTTGGGAGGCCGAGGTGAGTGGATTGCCTGAGCCCGCGGGTTCGAGACCCGCCTGGGCAGTGAGACCTCATCTCTACAATAAATCAAAAAATCAGCCG